ACATTTGTTTCCACGTCAAATTCACGACCACAAATAGAAATGATCAACTTGCTTATTATGTTTTTTTTTTTACTGAATGGCTTATGGATATACATTATTTCCATTCATTTTCTGAACACTTAAATAAGTTGCCAATTTTGTCTTTTAACACTATAAAATGACGTCATACATTTCAAGACCTAAAGGCAATTACCAAATTGAATGTTGTTCCTCGCTTAGAACAAATTGCCGATGGACACTAAAAGGGTCAATTTACACTTTCAAACGTAGGATTTTAACCTTTTATAATTTAAAAACTATTTCTACTCATAATCCTCTAAACAGCGGGGTGTAAGTTGATACGGCGAGTGTGACTGGGATGGGAGAGCCGCCATACATTCTTAACTCATTTCTGATCGAAATGATCTTCTCTCTATCAACTCTATGAAACGATGACTCCAATCCTTCTCCCTTGCACTTTCTTTTTGTTACTTTTTTTTTAAATTTATCTTTTTTTTTTTAAATTTGCTGCCCTCGAAAGTATACCGAGAAAATATGTCTATTTTTTGTGGAGACAGCAAAACAGCAGGAACTGGTTGGGAGACCGCAGTGTTGAAAACTGGAAAAGGTAAATGTAGAGAAAGATATTTAATTCTAATAAATCCTTTAAAAACACTTGTATATATGGTGATATGTAACGTGCCCAGTTTATGATAGACATGAAAAAGCCAAAATAAATATTGAGCAGAAATCTTAGGGACATAGCCTTTGGGCTCTGATTGGAAGAAAGTTGGCGCTGCCGGCTTTGCTTTCGCCTCGGAAAATTGATATTGCATATCTACATAATATAACATTAAACCAGGAAACATCTTGCCTCCATCGGACGTTGCTACAACTAGACTAGACCTCCTCGTAATTATTGTTGATCTTGTTATTTAGTTGCAGTGTACTGTTTCTTTGGGAACAGCGAATTGTCGTCAACTAAACTATTTCATTACTCTGTTATTTGTCACAAGGCACTCAACATTGATAGCGATAATGAACAAGCACTTCCTATGAAACAACATGTCGGCCCTGTCGGGCAGTGAGATAAGTTTATATCATAATGCTGGGTTTATTTTGGCCTCTGGAAATGGCAAACATTGAGCATTAGCTCAAGTTCCATTGAGGCTCTTGTTTTGACTTATCTAACATTAGTTAACATTAGCATTAGAGCTATCCCATCTTGAAGTTGGGAACTATTTCTGCCAGACATAATGGAATTATTGTGCTATAAGCTGTAGTTTATCTCGCGTTAGTTATCAGTCCAGCTGCTTTTAGAACACTCTTAACATAACTGCTTATCTCATATTTTGGCATTTCATTTTGGCATTTGTTTTTTTCGTTTTAAGGAAAGTTTTGAAATTTCAGTAAGCAATTCTACCAATGAATTTTGGTCGCAGAACGGAAAGTCTTCGCCCACAAGTCACGGTCTTCTCAGATTTATGAAGGTTTTTAACCTGAAATTTTTGGTGCATTCTTATGTGACCGTCGTTGATTTCATATCTTATTTTAACTCGTAAATTGCGCGCATGCGCAAAAGCGAGTTATAAATACGATGTAGGCTTGCTCGCGCGATTGGTCGATCCCTGTAAACTTTTTTCCATTTTAGGCTCTTGAGTGCATTTGATAGTTTTTGGCGAGCAATAAACAAACGAAATGGCGACCTTTGTTGCTTAGAATAGTGGTGGGGTGAAAAAGAAGCCAATGATAATCTTAAAAGAGTGTTTTTTTTTCGTTTTAGTTTCAACAAGCAGCGCCAGCGACTGGCAGGCATGCAAGGATTCACACTGAAATAACAGAACAACCTTCGTTTTTCATAATATTGTAATTCACAATCCTTGAACTTGAAAACAATCCGAAGATTCATTGAAAATATCACTTACGGCGAAGCGCACGGAGTTACAGATGTTCAAATGCTTTTTCTGTTATGGCGTGAGATTAAGGACAAAATCGATCATTACGTTGCGTATCGTGTGTTTTTCCTGTGTGAAGCAACGAAAGATGCCGGCGACTGACGAAATTACAAGTTAACATGAAAATCAAATAACACCTAAACAAACAATTTTAACTACCGATTTTCAGTGAATTTTTAAAGAACAATTTTCTTTTAAGTTTCAAGACAATTTGAAGATTCAAAATACATATTACGTACTAAAATGCGAAAATTATACACCACAAAATTGATAAATAGGGCTGAAATGAAATTCTATCTTGTTATTGATTATGCGTTGCTTAGCACGTGACTAAAATCTACCCAGGCGGAGATCCAAAATTACGGTGGCAGTCTTGGCTTAATTAAATCACTCACAACTCGATCCCGTTTGTCTCATTTGATAAAGAGGGAATCGTTAATGTTTTCATTAAGACAGTATTGCCTTGATTTTCCAATATTTACAATGATAGACAGTAAATTTAACTTTTCACCCATGATATACGTTTAAAACACATGACATCTCCACCCTTGTCAAATGTAATAGCATGAACATTTCAATTGTAATGCCTTCTTATCCCAACGTTACTTTGATTCTTTGCTACATTAGCCAACACTAAACTACTGCTCGTACTCTAGATACGACAATCAACCACAAAATTCCCTAAACCAGATAACATTAAACATAATCCAAATTCGTGTCAATTCACGAGTTTGCTCACAGAGCGCTTTGATTCCGTAGTTTGTCTTATGTGTCGCATATGCTACAAAGGCCATAGTCACGTTTCGTTCATGCAAAAAGATATACACGAGTCCCGTTTAGTTTTGCGTTTCACGTTCCTTTTCGCCTAAAAAAAATATCCTTAGCCACCATTTTATAATAGTGGTGGTCACTTCAGATGATTAGAAAGATGTGAACCTCCAACCAGACGTCTCGGAAAACAAAATTCTGCACGAGAGACTATCGTAAGGCTTGGACCAGAAGCCTCCCTCTCTCTTCCCTTATTTACTCTTGGAGTTCGACATAACTCGAGTGTTACTTAAACGGTTGGTTTTCAAACCTTTGAGACCCATTCTTTGACTCTGAGAATTAAGCTTTTGAAGTTTAAATTGTGTTGAGCAGTTTATCCACTATCACTTTTGATTAAAATTTGTTCTTTAAAAGTTCTTTGTGGCTAGTACATGTCTCTCGTTACTTTTTATGGGGCGATCCTTTCTCACTGCAAACAGGAGAATATCAACTGATAGATAACTGACAGAAAGCGTTCGATGGCATTTTTTTATTATCCAACTGCTCTAAGGGAAAAGAAATAACGCACGAATCGATTACAGATATCACGCAATATTGGGCAGTTGGACTTTGGTACTGTAAAAAAACCTGTTTAACCGGTCTGCTGCGCGTGCTACGCTTCTCTATCTGTTTCACTTGTCTTGCCTTATAAGAAATGCATCTTTAGTAGTTGAATAATAAATAACTTATTAGACGTTTTGGTGTGTAATATCGCTAAGTATTTTTACTTGTGGTTTGTATTTTGACTCGCCTCACAGGCTTGTCAAAAAACGGCACGACTCGTAAAACTACTCAGTGATACTATACAGTAAAACGTCTAATAAGATATGTTTATGTAACATTCACTTCAAGTGCGCAATCAATTCGGCTCGCAAAACCAAACCTGAAGGTCAAACCTTTTTTAAGAATATATCAGTCTGTCACGTTAGATATAATTGCAAGTCTTTCAGTCTGTTCGGCAAGGGCAGAAAATGTGCTGGTAATTATTTTCCCCAACACCCTGTCACGTGAGATTTAATTTTCATGTCGCATTCGATTCGCCCAGAAGTAAATAACTTCAAATTTGGTTTTATGTTTCTGGTACGGCACGAAGAGAACTCCTGTCACATAACATTGCATGACGATACGGCTAATACAGTCTATGTATCTGGCACTTATGTTTCCGGTTTTGAAGCTGGCCATACTGTGACCCGTGATAAATGCGTGCGTCTCCAGAGCTCTTAAGTTTCAACTAGGGATTCCAGTAAGCTATCTCAAACTCACTCTCGCGTAAACAACTAGAGATCAAAAGATATGTCAATGCCAGATAAAGCCATCGAAGCTGGGCGCGAAAGTCTCTTAGTGGATCAGTTCGATTTGAATCGACGGAGATACTACCATGAGTACTTAAGAGCTCATTGTAACGTTAATAAATGAGAGAAAATAATTCACCGTTCTCTAGATAAAAGATATGGCATACTGTTAGGTATGGATGTAAGTAGTTTTTAGCAATTTCAGGTTAACTAGTAAACGTAGGAGGTTTGTAATGATCATTGTAATAATGTGTACCATTCGATACAGTAGGAATTAAAAGAAGAATAAGGACAGAAACATTGCATGTGACTTGCCTTATTGCCCTAATGTACTCATTTCGAGAGTATCTACAGACAACACAGATGTTTCTGCTCAAGCACAACCTTACACAACCTAACTGTTCGAAAATTGTCTCCAAATGAGGTCAACAGTCGACTTAGGTTGACGCCATGTTGAAAAAAAAAAAAAAAGGAAAAACAAAAACCAAAACGCAAAGAAAAGCAGAAACCAATAAAAGAAAGTCCAAGCTGTTTGCAATACCATAGTTGAAACTCACATGGATCCGAAATATACTTTAAACTCCAAGCGAACATTATTGCATGTTTTCTGTTCCCTGTCATCCTAATAAGATTTACAAAATAACTGAGATATTACAAGCATCCTGATTGGTCAAAAACCTATCGTTTGATGCACTGGTGAACCATAGTTATTTTATAAATAGACGGCGATAGACGGCACCTTCCCTTGTGGAATATAACCTTTTTGCGAAATTGCACCATCACATGAAAGTTCCGGGTATATCCTTCTCTCTACGATTACGTAACGATGGATTTGGGGTTCCTTCTTCGAATAAAAGCTCTTGATTGGTCAATATAAGTAAGGCAACCAATGAAAAGAAAGATAAACTTCATGATGATGACATGAATGTCTATTTGGCACTGTACAAATAATACTTCCATTCTTCATTACTGCTAATACCAGCAAGGGCCTGCGAAGGAAACCAGCGCATTAGTATAGAAAGAGCTACAAAAATGATTGAAGACGTGGAGGAGAATATACCTGTTTTCCTCTCTTTTAACAATCTTGGTGTAAAGATCGGCGATCGGGAAATTCTTCGAAATGTAAGCGGGAAAGTCAACCCAGGGGAATTGTTAGCTGTGATGGGCCCTAGTGGTAAGTATCTCAGATCTCTAAATATATTTTTTTTTATGTAAAAACAAATAGCCAAGCTTTTTTCAAGAAGATGTTCACATGCTGGTAATCAATGGGTAATATCTGGGTCAATAGGTTCACGAGTTAAAATTGCAATCTTGCTTGTTGCAAGTGAATTTTTACCATGTAAATTAGGTCCGAAAGTAAGATTTGAGCTTTCAAATGCCCTGTTCCGAAGTCCTGCTACTAGTAAAAAAAGTACGACCGCTATTAACGAGTGAATGAGAAATACTATCGCAAGTTTCGTCTTCGTCTTCGTCTTCAACATTCTCATTATTCATCTTTGTTTTAGGTTCTGGTAAAACAACATTGCTAAATATTCTTGCTGGAAGAATGTTTCCAGAAAGTGGTGAAATCCTTCTCAATGGTACACAGTTGAACAAGAAACTGAAGAAGGCTATTTGTTATGTCCTGCAAGAAGACATTTTCTTTGCCAATCTTACTCTTCGGGAAACTCTTACTGTAAGCATCTCAATTTTTGTCTCAGTTTTAACCATATGTTTGTTCAAATTTATTGTTTAGTTAATTAGAGTACCTTTGTACGTAGGTGGGAATTCACATCTTTTACTTTTTTGTCCAACTTGACCATGCAAGTACATTTACTCTAATTACCAGTACATTTGAATCTTGACTATCCTGATTGATAAGGACTGGGCTGAATAATCTGGATAACTGAGAGTCCGCACAATCAAAACTATGAATATTAAGGAGACAAAAATAAAACTGAATAGGTATTATTTAAGTAATATTATTCAATGGTTTTTAAGGGAAAATTGTCAGATGAATGTGCATTGTTGCAAAAAATTTGCCAAATTAACTACGACAACTCTTTAAGGTGACAAGATTTTATGACTTGAAATGCTTATTTAAATCAGCTTGTTTTAAGCTGCTATATCATGTGTGCATCATTGTGCTTTGGATCTTCAATGTGAGTAATAAAATTGTTTGTTGAAATATGGGCCCAGAAAAGTGAGTCCAGATAATTGAAAAACCCAGATAATCGAGGTTTGACTGTGATTGTTTTCATCTCCCTAGTTTTCTGGAATTATGAGCCAGAATCATCTTTGCTGAACAGTCATTTATATAAGTGTTTCTAATTCAAAAGTTTAAATCTGATATATAATCATTATCATATTATGTTTCTTGTTCTCTGCAGTTTTCTGCAATGCTTCGCCTGCCAGATGCCTTGTCTAAAGCTGAAAAGTTACAAAAGGTATTTGTATGACCATAGATTTCACCTTTGCAGAATTGGTTTGCATTTGGTTTGCTATGAATGTCAAACTCAAGGCACAGAAGCCTACCCAAAGCAATAGGCTTATTCTTCACATGTATGAAAACAAATATCAACAGATTTCATTAGCATTAACAATTTTTTTCACCATTCAAAGAAACATTATGAAATTAAGTATTTACTTTACTTAGTTTACGTCCCATTGAGGCATCCTTATGGATAACATTTCCACAGTTAAATGGGTACCTTAACCCTTTAACTCCCAAGATCTGATTGTTAATTCTCCCCTGTAGCTGCTACACATTTCTTTGTTAATAAGTTATGAGAACTTGGTGCTAGATCAAGATAGCAGCTTCTACCTGATGAGTTTGAATATTCTCATTACCTGCTTACTGAATAATGTATGGATATTGTAGGGAGAAGTTTTATGTTCATCACTTCTGGGAGTTAAACGGTTAAGTAAAAAGTGGACATGTATTTTAGTTAATCTTCTTAAATAATTTTTTTAGGTAGATGAAATTGTTGACAGCTTGGATATCAGGAAGTGCTTAGATACAAGTGAGTTCACTTTATGGGAAATGTACTTATAGTTTTTGTGATGTAGCATGTAGTAAACAGCTCAGTCAATGTTTCTTGTGTTGTAGGGTAACACACCATTAGAAGAATTGGTTTGTGATATATATAGCTTTGTACAACTGGGTGCATGATGTTTAACTGGTCATTGAGAGAAGCAAGGCTCAAATCTTGATTTGTTACTTGCACCTCAATTTTTTCCCTAGATGGAACTCACAACAATGCTTTTAGGACATTGACACTGGAATACTCTGCATTTTAAGCTCTGAACTAAGAGTACTGACAAATCATCATCACAACGATGATTTTTTTTTTCTCTATCTATTATTGTTATTGATCCCAATGTTGTTGTTTTTGTTATTATTATTATATTACATAACTGCAAAATTGAAATTATTTAAACTAATTTCATGGTGGTATTACTTTTGATACTTGACATATATTCAGAGATTGGAAGTCCTTTTGAAAGAGGGTTATCAGGAGGTATTTAAACATGTTTTATTACATAACAATAAACATTGTGTAATACGAATTATTGCCTTTTTACACCTGTTTTTATATCCATACATACATACAGTATGTTCATCTCATTGTGGGTGGTCACTCATGGAGCAAACATGGCTAACCTTGGGTCCTTATCTTGTTGCTAGACATGAAATTTAAATACAAATACCTTACTGTTACCATTGAGATGTTGATTGTGGGTTAATTTTCTTTCTATTAGTAAATCTGCTCTGAATGTTCAACCTCTATTTATAGTTTATCCTGGTATATTGTGAATGTGGCCATATGTAATGGATGCTGGACTCATGCCCTGTGTGTACCTTAATGTTGGTTTATACCACTTAATAAATATTTTTAAATGATTTCTAAAATGAAGTACCTTGATTTTTCCTCATTTACAGGAGAGAAAAAAAGGGCAAACATTGGTTCAGAGTTAATAACAAATCCTTCCTTGATTTACCTGGATGTAAGTGTATATTCTGTGTTAGTTATTTTAATGTGCACATACTAGCAACATATCTTCCTTCTTTTGGTTAGTGTGATTGAATTTTAACCTGCATACTTTATCAAAGGTACAGTGAATGATACTATTCATTCAAGTTAATATTTTTTTTTCAAATTTAAGTCTGTTATTTCAAATTCCCAAGTCAGAATTTTATATTTAATTGCTTTTTTTTTTTTAAATTTAGCTGAAAAGGTACATCATTAGGGTGATGTGATGACTTTCCAATTTTCCCTCATAAAGTTCACAGATACTAACAATCAGTCTGTAGCATACTGTAATAATATATGCTTTTCCCCTTCATCACCCCTGCCAGATCTTAAGCTTAAGTCTTAAAGGGTAAAATAACACTGGGACTACAAATGTTTACTTGAGTCAGTAGCCTGTCCCAGCAATTGTTTGTGTGACCTATTTTTTCTGTCAGCACAGACTTAATTATACACGTCATATCTCTTTTCAGGAACCAACATCTGGGTTAGACTCTAGCAATGCCTTGAACCTTGTTAAGACTCTGAAGAGCTTTGCAGCCAGAGAAAAAAAGACAGTGGTAACCACCATTCACCAGCCATCAAGCCAGATCTTTTACATGTTTGACAAGGTTTTATTGCTCTGTGGAGGACAGGTAATGGATAAAAAGAGCTTAGCTGTTGTTATTCTAACTTGTAGATGAGATTATCGGTCTTCACCACCATTCTCAAACATGTCTTAAGATATGTGACATTGGGTGTAAGGAGCTGTCTCAAGTCGAATGCTCAGGTTCACTGCCATGCTGTTGCGCTCTCCAGACTTAGAAGATTTTCACTCAGTAACTGATTGTCAAAAAAGCAAAAGTCAAGGTTTCCTTTGTTTGCAGTACTATGAGCACCCTTCATTATACTGTAGATTATCCTGTGTCCTTATACAGTGAGGAGGCATTGGAAGATAAATTTAATGAATGATCCCCCTGAACTCTAATCATGTAAGCATGATCTGGATACACTCATAATGATGTGGTATTGATGTTGAGAGAAAGCTTACAAATTGGTGACAGTATTCACTCCCAGACATCATTATTAAAATTAGGAAAAAATATACATGAACTTGGTATACATGTATACAAGTGCTGTGTGAATTATGAACATTGTATTGAAGTTTGCTTGCCATCGCTGTTTTATTAAGTAGTTTACTAATCTTAAATGTTAATTAGATTCACTGGCACTTTCACACCCAAGAGTTCTTTCCAGGACCATTTGTACCACACAATCAACAAAACACTGTGGGTCTAGAAGATATGCAAACTGTATTAAGCAAAGAGGGGGTACCGTAGATACCTTTATTTAGTGATGAAGCCTTGCATATTTACCTTGACGTGGTATTGTGGTATTTCATTGTGTAATATCCTTTTCATGACAGGTAGCATATTATGGAAAGGCCAGTAGAGTTCTTGATTTCTTTGAAAGTGTTGGTTTGGTTTGTGATGCTCATTTTAATCCAGCTGATTTTATATGTAAGTAATACTTTACATGCTTATTAATTTTGGTTGATATCAACCAAAGTGTAGACATACTTGTACACCATACTGTAAATGTATGATTGACACAATATGGCTGGCTCCACAAGCAGGTACTTTGAACGTTGCAGGATATGAAGCAAATCCTACATTTTGTTTGGCTGCCTGAGCAGATAAGTTCAGCTCTTTAAGGGCTGCCTCCTTTTCATTTGCAAAATCTTAGATTAGCTTTAGCTAGTTGTTTAGTCAAGATGACTTCATGGTGGCTTTTCATGCATGAAACACACAGATAAGATGGCAGCCATTGACTGCACAGTCATCTTATACCTATGCTTGGTCAACCCATACTTTGTCAACTGCATGGCTGTGCTATCAATAAATTACGTATCTATGCCATACAATTCTTGAGCTGCAATCTGTGTTATTTGTTCAGTGGAAAAGGTTACTGAAGGAGAGGAAGTTCAAGAAAGGATTGTCCAAGGCTGGGCTGAAAGGTTGGTGAAATTATGTAATTGCAGAAAAGTAGACAACAGCTGTAACATTTTTTTCCCATTGTTTTCATCATTGTGTAGTTAAAATATTTACATATGTGGTGATGGAAAGAGTCACCTGGTGCCTACATCTTGAGCGAAAAACACATTTTATCTCTTATTTTAGACAGAAAAGACGTCAGAAATATTCAGCAATTTCCTACAACCATAGACCAGGAAGAACTGATACCCCAAGTCCTACTCCAGAGAAGGATGACAAGGACAAATCACAGGATATGGCGAGTGAAACGAGCCCTAAAAATGGGCAGCAAAAAGCTACTGAAGAGTTACAGAACAAGGATGATGTGTCTGTTCATTGTACTTCAGATGTACATGAGGTAGATGAGAACTCTGAAGTCCCTGAAAAAGAAAATAAAACAAGTCCTGCATCTGACAGAAGTGGTGAGTCCACTGGTGAGCTGTCAGTTGCTGACAGTTCGAATGAACAGAAAGATACACTAAGGCAGGAGAATGGAGGTGAATTCTCGTCTGAGGAGATGCTGGACAAAGAAAAAGAAAGTAAGACAGGCAATGGGCTTATACCATTTGGAAATGATGGACTGCCTTCAGAGATGAGTGAGAGTTCAAACCTCTTGGCTTCAAATCCCAAACCATCTGCATCTAAGACCCTTTGGAGGAACGTGAGAGACTCATTCACCAAATCTTCAGATCATCTTCCACAAGTCCCCTCAGAAATCCTGGTACCAGTAGCAGATGTCAATGTGGCTGTTGTATCTTACAAGCGTAGTACATCACGTGATTATTCTAAAATAGATGTTCATGATGACGATGAAGATCATTCTGCCCTGTACTCAGATATTTCCACATCATGGCCCACAAGTTTCTGGACACAGTTCACAGTTCTCCTACTTAGAACGTTTAAGCAGTCCAAACCAGATATTTTGTCTAAGTTAGAGTTATCACAGGTAAGCACTATTTTAGGTATAGTTTGAATAAAGGTCGGACCTGAAATAACAGTACGATATTTGTGTCCATGTGTAACAGCCATTGTAACATTTCGGTGATGTTGGTGTCCATGTGTAACATTTCCAGTGATGAACCAAAACATTTACTCAAACTCAAGAGCTGTAGAAAATAGATGTACTGTATGGTACACTTGTCAGATGTGGCTGTTGTAAGCATGCTTTGATAGGTAGTAAGGGTATGTGAATGGTGTTTACTTTCCATTTGCCTTACTCATTATGATTGTGTCACCACAGCGACCTAACACAGGACACTCGCTAACTCTCGCTGGTTTTTTATTTCGTTTTATTTAGTCATAAAAACCTTGTCTGATCATTCCTTTGTCACCTTAACGTTCATTTCCAGTTACCTTTATATTGTTAATTGATTGAAAAGATTGAGATTATGAAGTTTCCTAAGTTAGTAATTACCGCTCTGTGGAAAAAAATTGGTCTTCTTACAATCGGTACTTGTGTATCATTTGTTCCAGAACTTGCTTCTTGCCCTCGTTTCGGGCTTGATCTGGTTCCAGCTTCCTTACAAAGAGAAGAGCATTGAAGACAGATATTCACTGGTAGGTTATGTTACGCTTGTCACTGTTAGTTACGAATAAAGACCACTGTTCACGATGAATCACCCTAATCCCTCGAAATTAACCATTTTGGATAAATTGGTTGAGTATGGCCTGGGTGGTGTGGGAGGGGGAACAGAGATATTAGACCTTAACCATTCTTTAGGCCTAATTTAGTCCATCTTTCTCAAATCGCGTTGTCGGAGAGTTTTACCCATAGTCCTAGTTCATTCACTGTACCACTAAAGTTAAGAAAGAAAACGAATTTTTTCATACGTATGACACATTAACATATACTTTTTCTCATTTGGAACTAATTATTAATTTTAGTTTTAAAAAAGATACGGCTTCTTATTTCGGCCAGGTTCACGGTAAGAGGAAGTGGGTTGTGTTGTTTCTTTGGTGGAGAGTAGACGATAAGTCATGTCACACACCTGATGTGAAGTAAAGAAAATTTGTGCAGAGCACGAGGCCTCTACCTTTGGCGACTTCCTAACTGACTTGATTCAATGTTTTTGTCATCAATTGTTTGGCTGCATTGCGCCCTATTACTTTTTTTGCAATGAACGAAAATTGCCATGTTTGTTTTTTACTTTACAGCTGTTTTTCGTTGTGGTTTATTGGATGTTTAATCCACTCTTCCAAGCTCTGTTATCATGTGAGTTGAGATTGCATGTTTATTTAATAAACATTAAAATGTTTTTTCCCAAGTTGTTTTTTTTCCAAGTGTTTTTTTGTTCTTTGGTACACCAAACTTTGACATTAGACATAAGACATAGGAATGCACACCCAAGAATTGCTACGTGTACCAAAAGAGTTCCTCAGTATCTCAGTATTGTTAGCTTAAGAGAGGGTCGTGAATGCAAACAAGATCTTACAAGGAAGGGTTTAAGGCAGTTAGATTTATTTGTTGTGTTTTTTCAAGATCTGTAATTTCTAGTACAGTTTGAACAATACAACTATGAAAACAGCCAATGGTACACAAATGAAAATTATTGGCATACAGAGTGTAAGAGAGTCAAAATAGTGGGCTCGATTGTTTATATCAGGAGATCGAGATTTGCCCAAGCAGCCGTGCAATGAAAATTTGCAATAGGAAAAACGGGGGATTTAAACTTACGGCTTGTAAGTTGTTTCTTGTTTTCTCTGCTCATTTATAGTGTGAAGCGACTACAGCTGAATACAAAATCTTGACTCTTGCAAATAACCTTTTTGAATTACATGTACCCTGAGTGACATCTAAGTAGAACATGTAATACATTAGTCCATGTAACGTTATTGTCTTATTTTTACAAATAACACTCAAGAAGTGTTCAACTCTAGATCTAATTATCTTTCTGTTGGTTATGTAGTTCCAAGTGAAAGGACTGTAGTAAATAAAGAACGTGCTGCTGGCTACTACAGACTCTCTGCATACTATTTAGCCAAGTTGTTCAGTGAATTACCTCTGGTCTTATGTCAGCCGACCCTGTTCTATACGGCAGTCTATTGGATGACGGGTTTAAACAGAAGCGAGTCCTTCCTCGGTGGCCTTTTCGTGCTTTTGTTAACAGCCATAACAGGACAGGTATAACCAAGTTTAATATATACAGATGTTTGGCAGTCTTCTGATAAACATCTTTTGGGAGAAGAAAAATGCTAAACTGGGCGGACAATCTCGTCTTTGGTGGACTGACGCTCTGCACCACCGAGAAAAATGTTTGGTGGGAAAACTTTGAAATTAACTGAAAAGCCATGAAAGACACTTTGCTTCCTTGTTTATTGCCTGTGCTTGGCAGGAAGTTTGCAGTACGGCTCCAAATATTTCCTACCAAGGTTTTCTTGCTCTGTATGCAGACAGACCGAAAACGTGGGCTTTTTACTTAATCAATTAACCTCTCGGTTTCTTTTTTTTTTGCGTTTTGTTTTGTTTTGTTTTTTTCAAATATAATAGCAGAACATTTTTTGCATGACTTGAAGGAAAGAGAGTCGTTTTACTTAGGGAAAAAAACAATAACTCTCGGCACACAAACTACGACTCTTCATCTCCTCTAAAGTACACACACACGCAAAAAAACAAAACAAAACAAAAACAGGAATTCCAGAGAAGTGTTTACCGGTTTATTTCTTTATTAGCAGATTGTTTGATAGAGTATAAGGTGTTTTCACGCTTGTAAAAAAGCCTTATCTTTCGTTGTCCAGTCCATAGGTTTGTGTATCGGCGCCACAGTAATGAACTTCAAGAAGTCAATAGTGGTGTGTGCTGTATATGGTCTGACCTGTATGTTGTTGGGCGGATTCTACCAGAAAAACATACCCTCATGGCTATCTTGGTTTCAGTACGCTGCTTTCTTGAAGTATTCTTATGAGGCTTCCCTTGTCATTGAATTTGCTAATTCTCCATCATTCAGGTGAGCTTAATTCTGAGGTATGTAATATCCGGGACATTCAATTCAACATTAATCTTATGCTGTATGTTCCTTGACATGTTGTTTGGAATTCTCTTTCACTGTTTCCTTTAGATATGAAACTGGTAGCACGTCAGTCCTTACCTTCATGAAAGTTACCAAAGCATTGTAGTAGCAACAGTTCATGACTTCACCAAAAAAAATAATAATAAATAAAAAAATAACAGGAAAGCCAAAAGGGATATGCATAGTACGGCAAATAAAGATTATTGTCTTCCTACAGTTTCAGCACAATATTGTTGTTGGTAGAATTCTCTTTACTACAAAAGTTAATGTCAAAACAGAATATAATGTAAAAAAGATCACTCAAAATGCATCACTTTTGTTCCTCCAGTTGCTCGGCGACTGAGTCTTCTTACGGTAAATGCCACAACAATGGAACCGTCATCGAAGGAACGGACATTTTAGAGAGGCTGAATGTGACAAGATCTGTGGGAGAAAACATTGCTGTACTTCTCTGTTTTATTTTTATATTCAGAATTTTGACATATCTTTCTTTACGCTACTTACACAAGCCAAAGTGATTTCGGTATTCAGAGACACTGCACGAGCGATCTGTTATTTCCTTGTGTTACGTTAAGATGTCAACTTGTAGCCATTTGACAACTGACATATGTTTAGCGGTGACCACTTTTCAACCTGTCAGAATGGTATTGGGTTGATCAAGCAACGTGAGAATTAAATAAAGTAGATAGAACACGGGAGAAGAAATTTTATTGCTTAGAGCTGAAGGCGTTGAGTTTGATTATGCATCATAAAATAATATAACAAGAAACGAAGTTCATCGTCAAGTGCTGACGCCCCCCTTGCTCCAATCACAGGAGCGGCCATTTACATGTATTGTGATGATTACTGTTACTATTTAAATATTTAACTGCAAGTTATTATTTAGAGAGACGTCATATCTTGTGAGCAAGAGGAATTACGATATTCCTTACTGCCAT